TTATATATGTGTGTGTGTGTGTGTTAATTATATGTATATATATATATATATATGTGTGTGTGTGTGTCTTTGTCTGTGGCTGTGTCTGTGCCTGATATATATACATATATACATATATATATATATATATATATGTCGGTGTCGGTGTCGGTGTTTTATGTTCGCATCTGTGTAGATTTGTGTATGCCCCTGAGACGTTTCATATAGTAAGAGTGAAGGTGGGATGAAATTTGGGGAAGATTGCTTGTTTAGTATATCACTACCCTTGACGTATGATGATTGTTTTGTATCTTGACGTACTATTCTTAATTAAAAATAGACCGTGCAAAAACATCCCTTTTGAACAACTGTTGAAGACCCGAACCTATTCATGCTGACATTTATAGATTCATAAGTGATGGTATTGAGCGCATGTCTTTATTCAACCACTTATATGCAAGATAACTAGATGCTTTTTCCCTCTGATGCTATTCAAGCTTTTTCCCTCTGACGCTATTCAAGCTTTTTAGTCAAAGCAAGACTTTTTATGTTTGCTTTCCCAATATATTTAAAAAGCACTTTCAGATTTCGCAACCTATTCCCACTTCCATGATAGCCCTTCTATGCATACTTAGAAACAGGATGCAATTCTAATTCGTCACTTCGACTACATTGAAAGTTTAGAATGAATCTGTGTAGATTATTCGTTCTTGTAAGGCAGAGAACTATGTTCATGGACCAACACGATACTTCACCGACGGTATTCTTTGGAAACTTCGCGATCTGTTCTAGACTCTACGCCGTCTATCAATATGCGTGCATTGCTAAATTATTTTTTCTCGCACATGTCTCGTTCTATTATGGCAGCTACTTGGAGATGGTCTCACCTTTCATAAGCAAGCTTCAGCATCCTTGAGAACGGGCCTTGCGAAGGTTGTCTCCGAATTCAACATTAGCTCGATGCTAGACGCACCGTGCGGAGATATGACGGTAGGTTTTGTCAGTCTATATTATACACACTCAATTTAGTGAATAATAATAATTCGGTTGCATATTATACGACCTGCAAGGTTGTTCAAGTATGCACTTGCCCGATGCCTTAAGATTTTACAATTGTCCATGCATGCGCAGAATGATAGTACATTCACCCTTTGCCGTTTCATTATTTGCACTAGAGCGATTTGTTATCATGCAAGCGCGCTGTGTTCATTATATCATCAACGACTACCTGCGCGAGCTGTAAACGCAGTATATTGAAAAATAGGATCTCAGCTTGAATTCTCTAGTATTAATTCACACATTTCACTCGACGAATAACTGAATGCTACTTTTCCAAACCGGAAACAGTGGATGCCCATATTTCTTGAGAGCGCAGGCCAGGCCGTGAGTTACCACGGATGTGATTACCTATCTTCGGTAATTGAGACCGCCAAAAAAAAGTTCACACCATTGCATCCCGAATGGAAATTTACTCGCTGCGATCTCACTAAAGAACTACCATTGAATGGCGCCTTCGACTTGCTGTTCACTCATCAGCTCTTGAGTTTCCTACCCAGAGACAAGATACTCGAAGTCATTCACACAGTGAAGAACAGCCAAGCTCGATACTGGATGGTGAATGCTCATGACAAAGTATGTTTATTACGAATTTCTTGGTAAACCGATCCGTGTGACCGCATTTTATGTGGGCTAACATATTTGTACCGGATTGAATTAATGATGTGGAAGCATATTTATTGTGATTGTGCGTATGTTGCTTACAGTTGTCTCGGTATTGAATGACAAACAATTCCAAGTTCTATTGTATCGTGACGGCCCATCTATTAGTGCCGTGTATCACAATACGAAGCTATTGGTGCACTTTTGTACAACGATTGTCATTCACAGGCATGTTGAGAGCAACTTTCAAAATTCGTCATACAATTTACATGTATCTATATATGTGCCTATGCTTTTGAAATACAACGTGTATAAGTATACACTGAAATTCAATTTAAACTCATATACGTCAATATCAGGTGCAATTAAAATGTTCCCAAATTCAAGAGTGAGGCACTTATAACATGCCACGCTATTCTATCCAATCCCTTGGTAAGCACTGCTATTAACATAGCCTGGTTGTCGCACGTGATAACGTTGTGATACGATGCCGGTGTGAAAGATAATTATCGATTTCAAATACCCGTTTGGTTGGCTACAATTAGGTTCAGAAGAACAACAGAAGGCTATCAAGGTCCGGGGGAGAGTCTCCGACCAGTAACCTTTTAGAACCCCCTTACAACTTGGATAAGGAATGGATTGTATCTACAGTTGACACGGCGGATGACCCTGAAACTAGCTCCGACACTGATAAAATGGTCGTGATAGATATGAAAATGCTCAGGGAAGGTTGGCCATCAAAATCTGTAGACGGCAGTGACGAGAAAATCGCCGTGGAGAAAGATCGCTTTGATCACGACCGCTACCATAGAATGCAAAATGGGGATACGGCTGAACACCACGATGCACAGGAGGTTGAAGTGGAAGCAGAGTTGCCAGCAGAAGGGCCTGAGTATGCTGCATGTTTTGGGTGCACCTTTCGTGTGGCATCTGCTATGCACTTCGCGCTTAGCCTGCACAGCTTGTTTTTCTCTGTTAGGTGTCCACTCGCGGAGATTGGGAGATATTGTTTTATTTAGAATACAACAAGAGTGTATTCAGCAACTTACTTCTACCCCTTTGTATTCATGCTCTTATTCTTTGATTGAAAAGTACTATGGTGGTGATTGCACTCTCTTTCATAGCGTACCTGTGATCGTATTGCTCTTAGCTGGACTCTTTCACTGTAATTTTTTTTTTAATGTTGTATTGTTTGCATCCACAACTATCCGCAGGTCCGAAAGTGAAGATTTTGACCCCATGTCTAACAATTTCATAGGGTCAGGTGGCAGTCTTGATGACAGGGAGGGGGACTTTCTAGCGGAAGAGTACATGGACTATATGGGTGTCAAACCTGACAAAGCACCGAAGTACCGTGATTCACAAGATGTAAGATTACTTCGTGCTTTAGACCCCGCACAATATTACTATTTTGCTACAGGTGCGCATTTTGATAAGCACAGAGCGTACATAACAACACAGTATTGTTTTTTTTAATGCTATTACTACCACCTACTGTCATATTCGCTGCACATTATCAAGATATAGTATTTATTTTTTTGTTTGTTTGTTTGTTTTTTGCAAGTACGTCTTTGCCAATATTGCCCGGTAAACACTGATTCGAAATGTACTTCTGGACTTGGTAGGGAGACCATAGTATTCCAGAGAGCACACTGAGCGCTACAAAATCTTTACGGAAAGGGATGGGGAGGCTAATCAACAAGTTCCGCATTAAATCTATGCTAGACGCACCTTGTGGTGAGATGACGGTGAGTACGTCGAACTTAGAGTTTCTCGGTTGTTGAAGATGTGCAGCTTATAATTGAACACGTAGCACATCATGGAAGAAGACTGACTGACTACTGAACTCTATACTTATTACAAGACAGTCCAGTGTTTCTCTCATACTCACAACGATGTGATTGACAGTTGCTTGTCAAAGTTGTATGGATTAACAATGATATCCCATAACTTGATACTTACTGTTCAGTGGATGCCAGCCTTTCTTGAGGAGTATGGTGATGGTGTTCATTACACAGGATGCGACATTCTGAGTAGTGTTGTACGGCGGGGCAATAAACATATAGCAACATCCGGCTCAGAATTCATCCGGTGTGATTTGACTACGTGGCTTCCCAACGATGGCGAATACGATTTGGTGATCACACGGAACACGCTACACTCACTCTCTGACAGCCTGGTGATGGATGCGCTGCACGTGGTAAAGGATTCAAAGATCAAGTATTGGCTGGTTGAGAACTACAATGGTACCCATGCGAACCACGAATTACCGGAAGGGGTCAATGCGCACAGACCCGTAAATTTGTTTACGTATCCTTTTAACTTTGAGCGAGATTGGGTAGGTTTCTTCTTTTAGTTCAGGGAATCCGTTAGATTTAATTTTGTGCAGTGAAGTATTGTGTGTGACATCAAAAAGGATAGCGCGTGGGCTTAACTTTTGTACCGTGCGTCATAATCTACCAATATTTAGTACCAAATTTAAGATCTTCAGTACCGAAATCTTCAACCAAGTCCTTGATATATGCAGGTCATTGACACAATAGAGGAGAAAGAAGCCGATCCAAGACATTCTGAGCACGGGAATCGGCATAAGTCCAACCATGAAGGTCACTTCCAAATGGTGCTGATGGACGTTCAGATGATTAGAGATTTCTGGGGAAAACACAGGCAGATAACTCGCACCTGAAAGGGTATGACTTCTGCTTTGATTTTGTAGACGGATATAGTTGAGGTAAATATCCGTGTATATCCTCCATCACCTTCGATAGACCATTGATATTCCATGTTGGTATACGTAAAATTCAATGCGGCTGTTAGATTGCCTAGAGACGAGTCACATCGAAATATGAGCTGTGACGATTGGAGATGAGGTTTGATTCATGTTTGGAGATTATCATCCTCGAGTTCACAGTGCAGATTAGCGAAATCACTCTGAGACCAAACATGCGCAATTGGACCTGTGCATATCTATAAGCAATTCTAGGATTGAAACGTCGGTACTTCCACCTATATCTCATTAGCAATGTATTGTATGTAATTTTCAACAACTTAAACCACGCAATAGTTTTGTGAGTTTCAACACACTAACATGTACCTGACCTCGCATCTGTTACGCTCTAAACTACAGGTGCAGCACCAAGCTATTGAAAAATCGATAGAGACCAGTCTCTCGATTAAACATACTAAATGCGGCATAAATATACTTGCCCGCTGGAAGGTAGAGTGGCGATCGGAATGTTCGGGCTGACGAGTCTCGAATTTTCGGTATATTTTAGGCCTGGTGATGAAGTCATGGCAATTGCAGCGTGGGTGCGATGTGATACCTGAACTTATTCGCACAACTGCTGAAACCAGACATATGTTCTCTATAGAACACCCTCTGTATCACAACCACAATCATTTGCAATATTAGAGGATAATAGATGGGAAGCGTCAACAACTACTAATCCGCACTTTTGGATGAGTATCTTCTGTCAGAGTTTAGTATGACAACTCCGTGCTGCTGACAGAAAAGTGATTCGCCACCATAATATCTCAGACTTCACCGCACGACCGATGACACCTTCCGGGATGACGCCAAACAAATTTCGATTTGTAAGAACCAAACCCCCGTTAATATCACGGATCCAGAGGGCGCACTTGTACTGGTCCCGAGCACCAAGGCAGCGACAGTCTTTACTGATAATTGGGTGCATCTGGACTCTAAAAAAAGTATAGTAATTACTAAATACAATAGCGTTCCTTGCAGATGCATCCTCCGTATCGGTTCTGAAATTAAATACTGACACCGAGAGTATTATATGACTTGCGCGGCCGTATTCGAGTTGCATAAATGATATTAAACCAACACTATAAATAAATAAATCTGTAATTCTATACGAGGTCTACTTAAAAATGCTGTCATATCATGATACATGTTCATTATTAAGAATAGAGATGTTAATTTCATTTCCAGCGCTATATTGTTTTGCGCATATAAAAAAATCCTTTGCGCATGTTTATTTTCACTTAAGCAAGCTTGCTTTGATCAATCGAGGTTTTGAGAACTCGTATTGGATGATTGTTTTAACATAAAACATACTTTGTCATAGATTTTGTCGTGTTGATTAAGTTTAGTGTCCTTTTTTATGTGGATTTGTTGTGTATACATATAAGATATGTTTCTCTTGGGAGGTTACTGATATTTGTGTGGTAGGGCACCTGCCAATTAATTTTATATATGAACAAGTACTTTTATTTTTTTATAGGAATGGAGAAACTCAATGGCGACAATAACACAAGTATTGGCACATAGAGCATAGTGTATTCAAACATCAAGAAATTCCAGACTTGTGTCGCGAATTACTTGTGATTAAAATCAATAAGCCCCTGTTTGATCTGGGTTGATGTCACATTTATCAACTATTTCCTGTTTTGTTGTTTCCCCCCCATCCTTTGTCGCTTCACGCTTAGGTGCTGGGGTATGAGCGGTAGATATCAGATTGTATGGAGCGCAGTATTGCCTCGTGAGTCCGTATACATTTTCAAGGAAAGTGGAATTACTGCTTTTTAATACATATCGTGTCGGACATTGCCTAGGATATAGACCGATAATGATAACACAATGGCTCTCTGGATTAGGGTCTCGAGCAGAAATAAAGTTTTTCTCTGCGACATCGTAAATTTAGCAGAGACTATATCCAGTATCCAGAGGGCCAAGGATAACATTCACACCTTCCAAAAAAAAAATGAAGAGCACATCACCATTGACTATTTTCAAAATTGCACATTTCTACCCCGACCCATGGTACTTACCACGAACCTCAACTGGTGATTGATGTCAGCACACCAATCATATTTTCTTCAGAATAGACGAAAATAAGTTATTTCAAAAGTTTTACAGGCTTTTCCTGGCCATATCCCGATTAGATTCACATTAGTACGAAAACGGTTCGTTGACCTCTGCGTACCGATAAGGAAAAAGAAAACAATTCTACTGGGCAAATGAATATCTATATATACTTTAAAGGAGTCCCGAGTTCGCCAGGGACAAACACTCATCCCAGGTTACCGGCTAAAATCAGCTTCTCAATATCGTCATACAAGGCATGTTTCTTTGTTTTTCTTGCACATCTCCTACATTCTGCTAAAATGTATACTCACTGCAAAAAAAAGTTTGTATCATCTTCGTTACAAGTGTTGTTAACTTGTTTTGCAGCATGAAGTACCGATTATTATTATGGAATATACAAATTAGCTACAGGTTATCACCACATAGAAATTAAAACTGCGACATGCTCGATCCCAAGAGGTACTAAAGGTTGCAATCAAATATATCTGGAGAGGTAGCAGGCCTTTCAAACATGCACTATTTGAAGATATATCCCTTCTTCCCCTGATAACATCATAAGGCACATACATGCATTTGTTGATAAGTTGAAAACATTGCCACGTGCCGATATCAATAGTGCAACTACTTAATTCCATACCTTGCACTACGCTGAATCTGTGGAAATTAAATATAGAAGTCAATTTTTGTTTGGCATTATGAAAGGCGAATTGTCATTGTCAACACCGGCCCGAATTGACTCAGCACATATCATCCATTGTCGACTCACTTGGCCCAAACTTCAAACGGGAATTTACTGACCACTTCTTCCCATCAATCTTTCCTGAACCACTACAGCGATTATGAGAGCCCTACCATATGTTCATACATTGTATCATACATACTTGCCATATATGAAATAAATAGTATTATCCCTATGGAGATTCAACCCACCATAATTCTATGATATGTTTTACTGTGCGAATGTATCAATCATCAATTTCCCACGACTTGTCCATTCGACGGTTTGAATATATTTGTTCGGATCATGAGCTACTCAATCGAATTATAATTTTTATTCTCTGAAAAGGTTGTGAACAAAATAGTTTTTGGTATGAACTAGTTCTTTTGTGGTTGTCGAGTTATGTCGCAAACTACGATATTCTGTAGTCGCACTTCCCCGGGTAGGCAATGGGTCGTAGTACGGAGTACAGTCAAACAAATTATGATTCCTTTACCTAGAGATCTACTCTCTCTGTGTCAGGTGAACTTAGCGATATGGTCAGTACATTCGCCCACGTATAACACATTATGATGACTCGTACTTTATCATGCGAAACTGAAGGTTAAAAAAATGCATCAAGGCAAGAACCTTAAATAGGGCGAAACTTAAAGATCTATATATAGTCGTACGAATACTCATTATATGTAATCATTATAACGAATAGGTTGTGAATCAGGGTTACGTATCCATTACCTGAACTAAACATTATGAAGTCATTTGTGTTGCCAAAACTCTTACTTCAGAATGTAATTACATATTCTACGAGCAATGCCGGGCAAGTCCTAATTTTTATACAGCGCTTGTTTTTTTGTTTTTTATATTAAATCTTAAAATCTCAGGAACTCGATTTGCGTATTCAGAAAATAATAGTTCACAATGCTTAGGCATAATATTATTTATTTCAAAGGCCTACGAGTAGTGTCCTGGCAAGTACAAGCCTGCTTGGATATTGAAAATACTCGCATATAAAGAGGTGTGCTTCTCATAATTAGACTCGAAGCCAGCTAGTTGTATTTCAAGGTGTGTTCTCTCAACATTTGTGTCATTCTGAAACTGGCGCTATAATTCATGAAGCTGAAGGAACTGTTACAAGGCTCTACATTGAACGAAAACTTCAGAAAATAGCTTCGAATCGTCTTGGTCATTTTACGCCTCCCTCAAAACCGATCTCGACCCTTTCATGTGTGCATCCGTCAAAATCTTATTCTTGTTACTATATAAAAGTCTTAATTTATGTGGATACGAGTAATTTGTGATAAAATCGTACTGTACACATTTAAAAGTTCAAAACATTTTGTCCAGTAGTTTTGTAAGAATTAAATCACAAGGCGTCGTATGCCAAGTGAAAACATTCAGCCTTCAATTGGAATTGATTGATAGCTCCAAGCGAGAAAAAGAATAACACATCATGTATGCATAGTATCCATTCACATACTGGATATTGGTGTAACAGTGTAAAATTTATTACTGTGCTTTTAACGAGCGAATTTATTGTCATCATCAAACATCTTGCTGGGAGTTCAATGTGGAGCGTGGTAATGTTAAGCAATATATTCCTAATTGTTCAAAAGCAATTGTTTAATTGGTATTAGGATTTTTTTCAGGATATATTAGATGGACCATATCGTTGAGTGTACTCAATCTAGTTTTAGTTGATGCATACTGTTTTTTTTCAGAATACGGTAGCCTGCTTTATATCACATAACATTTTTTGAAATCTACCTGATTTATTTTTTGGATGTATTATAAAAATATTAGAATACGTCGTCCCGAATCCAAATAATTTGAACAAATACATCAAATACATATGTATAAAAAGGGTATAAGTGTAAATGTTGTGTATCATTAAATACTTTCATCGAAAGTCGGTTAGTGTTTGAACATGACAGCTGTCACGCATAAAATGATAGGCTATATCTTCTACCGCATCACCAGTGATCAGCTTGCTTAAATTGCATTGAAGCTATTTACTTCTTCGATTTTAGGAGGTTGTTCTATTCTTGAATGTAATAAGTAAATACTCGAGGACTCTTGTGGTATGTACACGATGCCAAAATGAAAAACGATAAATATTGGGGTATGCGGTGGAGAACCA